CCCCAAGGGCGCGGGAGGCGCCTCCTGCCCCAGGGCCCCCGGCGCGGGGTGGGCTGGGGGCCACGCTGCGGGGTTGGCGGCGACCCCCGAGGTAGCCAGGGCCAGGAGCCATCGCGAGGCCTGGGCAGAGCAGCTGAGGCCTGGAAGGTGGGCAGAGAGGGGCCTAAGGGCCAGGGTATTTGACTCAGCCATGAGCTGTCCAGCCTTCTGCCTCCTTGGTGCCTGCCTGCAGTGAGCCCCTGCAGTGGACACCTCTGGCTTCAAACCTTTGCTGTCTGCACCTTTATTTTCCTCCTGTCTCTTTCCATTCCTGTGGTGCTGAGAACAAAGATATCAGCAGGACTGGGGGACTTTGGGGCCACCAACCCCCATCCTGAACCAAAGAGGGCCACACGTGCACAACTTGGAGGGCAAGGTGGGGCAGGAAGCCGCCCCACTGTGCTGTGCCATGGTTGGGCACTGTGCGAGCTGGCCGGGGGGCCAGRAGGGTCTGGGGAGCAGTGTGGCTTGGCACTGGCACTGATGGATCACCCACCGCCTGTCCCTCACAGCAACACAGCTCCGGGGATATGAGCCCACAAGAGGCATCCTGACCTCAAAGTATTTTTAGCTGCATTCCCAGGAGCAGATCTCATTACAGTTCTGCACCACAGGGCCATTTCTGTGACCTCAGTGGGGCTTGGGTATGTGGGGAGGAGGTTAATCTATTTCCCCCTTCCCCCGCTGCCAACACACACACAACTCTCCAAGGGTGCTTTCTCCCTCCCAGGGATCCATCCCCAATCCTTTCTCATGGCAAAGATGAGAAGCCAAGCTTGGGTGCTGGCAGAGGGCTGGGGACTGCATGCTGGCAGTGGGATCCCTGGCCTGGCAGCCCTGTGCCATGCCAGGGTGCCTCCGCACTGTGCCTTCTGCCCTGGGCCCATGCTGGTGTCACCCCTTCCCTCCTGCTGCAGTGAGCCAAGTGCCTGTGCTGGTCACGATGCCAGCACTCCTAGGATCTGTATCAACACTAACCTGGAGACGGAGCATTGTCTAGTAGGTATTGCAAGGTATTACGCCACTGCTGCTTTTGGGTCTGATCTGGCATGGTGGGCATGGCTCCCAGGTGGTTCCAAATTAGCTAAGCACCCAGCATGAAGGCTGCCCTCTTCTTGAGGTGAGGGTTTGACATCCATGCTCTGCCCTATGGGCAGCTCTGCACAAGGGCAGCATATTGTCTTCCAGCAGCAGCCACAGCAACCTGTGCCTGAAGCTGCTTGCATCTCAGGCCTTCCTGCAGCTGAAAGCAGCTGTAGGAACTTTCCACCACAAAGCCATCTTACACTCTGCTTCTGCCTAGACAACCTCTGGAGTGACCAGAGCCTGGAGACGGACCCTGACCTCCCCACAGGCTGGAGGAAAATCCGTGATTCTCTGGGCACCTACTATTGGCATGTGCCCACTGGCACAACACAATGGCAGCATCCAGCTTGCACCACTGGCCCAGGCAGGAGCCTGGAGCCCGACGGAGAGGAGATGCTCCAGAAAATGGTAGGGAATATGGGCAGGGGAGTGAGGGCAGGTGTTGGATTGCCTCACTGGGCATGAGCAGCCTGGTGTGACTAGCCTGGCCTGGCCAGGTAGGAGCCTGGCAAGTTCCACAGAGTGRCAAGTGAATGACCTGCTATATGTTTCTCGCCCAACCTCCTCTTGGAACAGGATTGTCTCCTCAAGAGCCTGCTCAGCCCTTTCCTGGCTGGGGTTACCTCCCTTGAGGAGCTCAGGGAGGCTCCATGTTGGCCCCATCATGGCACTTCTCTAGGACCCTTGGATTAAGGCTTTGCTCTCCTAGATGGGAAGCTGGATGCCCAAGCCTCCTACGGATATGGATTTGCTCCTCCCCGACAAATCCTCTTGCAGCCCTCACTTGCTTTCTTCTCTCTCCTAGGACCAGCAGGCCTCTCCAATGAATCAATCCTTGAAGGACAGGCCCATTCCCAGTCCTATGGCTTCCCTGCCCAGGAGGTAGTGTTATCCATGTATTCTGACCAACCTGGGGCCAGTGGGGACTTTGGTGCACCACGCCGTGGGCACCCTTTTGCCCACAGCTGCTTTCTGGTCCTTTGCATCCTCTGCCAGAGCAGCTAAATTGCAGTCAGCCACTCTGAGGTGGACCAATGTCAGATGCCCATTGGGTGGGGAGTGCTCTGGCACTTCTCAGGGCTTTGATGCCTAGGGGCAGTGCTACTGAGCAGAAGTCTTGCCCAMCTCGCTGCCCCATCCTGTTGCAGGACGTCACTGCCCTGGCATGGAGATGACTTCCAGCACCGCGCTGAGCCCGGCTCCAAGGTAATGCATTGCGAGGGAGGCGGCCCTGACAGCAGCAGCACTGAGACACGATGCAGAGAGCAGGAGGGAGCCTCCAACAGCTCTCAGGCTGGGACAGGGGCGTAGGCTGCAATGGCCTTGCTGGCCTGGCGTGCAAACCTTGTGTGTCCCTGCTCAGTGCTTCGCCGTGCGCTCATTGGGCTGGGTGGAGATCCCCGAGGAGGACCTGGCCCCTGGTAAGAGCAGTATCGCCGTCAACAACTGCATCCAGCAGCTCTCCAACAGCAAGAGCCAGGGCCAAGGCTCTGTGGGCAGTCGGGGTGAGGTGAGTACCAGGGATGGAACTGCTGGGGACACTCCGGCCGCTGTGGGCAGGAGCCGGCACTGCTGCAGCTGGCTGTCCTGTCACATGGGGACCATAGCCACTGGGGACCATAGCCACTGGCAGGGACAGCTGTCTCCATGCRCATGGGAAAAGACAGCAGTGCCCAGATGTGTTGCGGGTTAGGCCTTTGGGGCTTTCCCTGCAAAAGGCGACAGTGCCAGGAGGTGGCTGGGGGAGGGAGGAGCTGTCCCCACATGTGGGTGCCTGTGTGTAGAGCAGGCCAAGYGGACGGGGCTGGCCCCACACTTGGGGACTGTGTTGGGTGGTGCCAAGCTGGAAGTAGGCTGGATGGATGGGGCTGTCCCTGCACACAAGACCAGTGCCAGGGTGCCCAGGTGTGCAGCAAGTGGGGGGCTGAGACTTGCCTGCCACCAGGCTGAGGGTACCCCCGGCTCTCCACAGGCCCAGAACCTAGTGATGATCCTGAAGAAGGACACCATGAGCCTGGTGGACCCTCTGGACCACAGCCTCATCCACTGCCAACCCATCCTCAACATCCGTGTCTGGGGTGTTGGCTGCAACAACGGCAGGTGCTGGGGGCAGGGGCCCCTCTTGGTGGGCAGCAACAAGGCCCATGGGGTGCTCCTGTGCTTGGGAGCCAGACCACAGCCTGGCATTCAGGGGTTCTGCCAGCCCTGACTGCYTGTTGGGATGGTAGGACACACACAGTAACCTGCCTGCTCTCCTTTCTCCTGACTGCCATGGTTGGTGCAGGGACAGGTAAGGTGGTGTGGCGCAAAGGGGTCGGGCCAGGGGTTGTCTCCACCAGGCTTTCCCTCACCTGCCCTTGACCTTGCAGGGACTTCGCATTTGTGGCCAGTGACAAGGATACCTGCGTGCTCAAGTGTCACGTCTTTCACTGCAACGTGCCGGCCAAGGGCATCGCCAAGGCACTGCATGAAATGTGCTCCAAGGTGGGGTGCCAGGAGCTGTGGGTGCAAGTGGGCTAAGGCCACCTACAGCCCGGGCAGCCAGAGTGGTGATGTTCATGGGGATGTATCTGGGCATGACGCTGTGGTTTTGGGCTGGTGGGTCACGGGGCTCGCTGTCTCTGCCAGCCAGCACCCACCTCAGTTTCCCTGTTCAGGATGGTGCCCAGTCCCCACTGACAAGGGGCTGGGGGGTGACCAGGTGCTCCTGCCACCCRGCCAGGGCACCCCTGAAAGCACAGGGCCCCATGTGATCCTGTCTCTTGTAGATTATGACCGAGCGAGCTGTAGCAAGCAGTAGGCTCCCACGGGCCATCACCTTGGAGCCCATGTTCCCTGACGATCTGCCACTACAAGGTACCATCCCACAGGCATCCTGGGGACCCCCTGCGAGGGCGGTGCTGTGCTTAGCTGCCAGAGTCCCTTCACATGCCTGGCTGCATCCTGGGGGGCCTTGGGGCTGTACATGAGGGCCCCACGCACTTCTCTTGCCTTGGCAGTGGACATCCTGGACGCTGTCAGACAGTCCATCCAGAAGTACGAGGCACTGTATATAGGCAGCCTGCCTGTGCCCAGGGCCATGGGTAAGTGTTGCTGTCCCAAGGGAGGCTGGAGGATGCCCAAGAAATGGGCAAGTAACGCCAGCGCCGTCTCTTTTCCCCCCAGGGATGGATGTGCTGAACGAGGCCATTGAGAGGCTGATGAGAGGCCCTGGACGGGAGCGCTGGACACCCTCCCTCATCAGTGTGTCAGACACGGCCATGAGGGCGCACCCAGCACGGGTATGGCCAGCACTGGTGAGGGTCCCGGCAGCCCAAAGGTTGCAGGCTGCTGTGGCTGACACAGGACGTGTCCCCCTGGGCAGGCCCTGGCCTGGGGCAGCCGAGCTGCCTCGGAGCRGAGTCCTGGCACAGGGACATGGAGGGCCGAACGTGCCTGGGGTTTCAGGGTTTACCACATGACAGAGGGGCCTGTCCCTGGCAGGAGGAGGCGGCGGCCGGGCACATCTGGGAGTGCCAGGTTCGATACGTGACCTTCATCGGCGTGGGCAGGGACGCGCACACCTTCGCCCTCATCGTGGACACGGGACGGCGCTTCCAGTGCACGGCGTTCTGGTGCGAGCCCGACGCGGGCACCATCTCGGAGGCGGTGCAGGCAGCCTGCATGGTGAGCGGGGCCCGGGGGCAGCCCGGGCTCTGGGCAGCGGGGAGGCTCGCTCCCCTCCGCTCACGCCGCGGCCCTCCCCGCAGGTGCAGTACCAGAAGTGCCTGGT